TTTTATTTTTTCAAAATAAACTCTACAATAACTGATAGGCGTCATACACAAGATGATTTTAATTTTATTGCTCTTGCCTATATCAAATAGCGCTATAATTCAAGAAGTTTATTATAAAAGTAAAAGTGACAACAAATAATTGTGTACTTTTGCGGACTAAAACAGCCAAATAAAAGTCTGAAAGTAATTCAATATCAACGACTATAACAACGCAATTGAACAAAACCGTATGACAGTATTAAAAAACTCAACAGCAACACTTTAAAATAATTTTTGATATAACTAATTGTCACTTATGAGTGTGTTGACTGAATAATTAAAAAATTGAGCATAAAATTAAGACATGAAATGATAAAGAGAAGAGAGAAAAAAATGCAGCAAAAAGCAGTGTTATAATTACTTTTTCATCAATGTAAACTCCTTCTAAGATGTAAGCAGTTAAACAGTTTTATTGTTTTTTATACTTTTACAACATTGACTAATATAGTTTTGGTGAGCTAAATAACGAAATAAAGGGACAAGAAATAAACTGAATAAAATTAAATAAACTGATTACTTTTTGCAGAAAAATACAACTAATCATCTTCATTGCTAAATACTGAAAAAAAAAAAAAACAAAATTTTTGACTAACGTTATAGATTAAAATAAACAATTGTTAATATTACTTTTGTACAGTATTTATCAACATTTTAGTAAATCAGAACATTTAAAGCAGCAACTTATGACTATATTTATTAGAATTTTTAGAACCACATAGCTTTAGTGTCACTAACTTTGACTCTTCTTGCGAATTTTATTACTTTGTCCTTATTTTTCACTATTGCTTAGTGGTATCAACGAAATTGATATTTTAGCATGTTGTTGATGATTTAAAGTGACAATTTTGGTGTACATTTGTTGAATGCGTGTGCAAAATCAAACTGTACAGATGATTAGAGCAGACCAATTGCTGTCGTTTATTCAAGAAAATGTCAAGGAAAAAAGTATTCTACAGTATTATTTATTTTCCACTAGTCTTTAACCCAAAACTTAAACTGTAAAATGTAACAGAGATGTATCTATTTTGTAGACAGTAATTAGATTACTTTTTTTTTTGTGTGTGTGTGTGTGTGTGTGTG